CAAATAAAGTTATGTATTATTTTTTAAAGTTATGTATTATTTTTAAAATTTAATAAAAATATTAAATTTATAATTGTAAATACAATTTTTAATAAAAAAATTATCTCTTTATCAAATAGTTCTCATTATAAAATTTCATACTAGATCAATATAAAATTTTGATAACAAATTATAACACGTATTATAGGATTGTATTAGTGTCAAATTATTGATCTATCATCTCTAAATGATAGTTTAATTCAAAATATTGAACGATTGAGAATTGAAATTAAACCTAAATGATAAAATTAACAAATAAAAAGACATATTTTTACAAGTATATATCAATTATTCTATATATACTTGATTTTGATTAGACTTATAACTAATTCAACCCGAATTGACCTGATCTAAAGGTTGACCTAAACCGAAAATCAATCTATCCAATATTGACCCTACCCGAAATCTAACCGATCTGGTATTAACCTGGCCCAAAAATCAATCGATCTGGTATTGACCCAACCCGATATTGACTCAATCCAAAAATCAACCGATCTGATATTGATTCGAACCGAAAAACAACTGATCCAATAATCACCGACCCAAAAATTGACCCGACCCGATCCAATTCATCGTACACCCGAACTAGATCCGAACCATATCCGATCCGATCCGAAAAAATTAAACCGAATTTAATCTAGACCCAAAATTACCCGACCCGAAATGACTTAATCCAAAGCCGATCTGAATGAACTGTTTGCCATCTCTAACTGCAAGAACAATATCAGTATTGTTCATGCAATATCAATATTGTATGAACAATATCAATACTACTTTCCCAGAAAATTGTTTTTGTGTTCAAATTCTTTTTTAATGGACTTTGAAATTATTTTTGAAACCTTTGAATAAATTCAATCAAGTCAAAAAACATTTCGCCCTTAATTTGTTATATCAAAACAAGTTCAACAAGATCTTTTTAAAAAAATGATTCGAGTTGGGTTGGGTCGAGTGTTCTAGAAAATATGTTCGGGTCGTGTAGGGTTCGGATTTAGAGTGAAAATACCTAATCCTACCAAAAAATAATAAAATATACTTTATATATTTAGGGATAATTATAATAATAACCCAGATATTTTTTCAATTAGATATTATTTTTATTGAATAAAAGTTACCCCTAAATTAGGATCGGATGGGATTCAGGTGGAGGGTATATAATTTTCGGGTCGGGTCTGGTTTCTAAAAATCTAACCCGAATCATGTCCATCCCTACACGTGTCACTTAACGATTTTTTAACGGTAAATACCTAAAATTGTAGCGGAGAAAACAATAAAAATCACTATTTTTAACGAAAAAAAGTTTAACATAAAAAAATAATTTTTGGTAAAATTTGGATATTTACTTTTGTATTAAGTATTTTCAAAATATACTATATTTAAAAAAAAAGCATTAAAAGAAATAAGTGTATCTTATTTATATGCGGAATATAAAAAAATTTGTTCATAATAATTTATCTAATTTAATAAATAAGATGTATGATTGTAAAGTTTTTCATTTTAAACTATGATCACTGGGTGAAGGAAATAAAAAATTGAAATTAACAATAGAAAATGTAAAGACATTCACTAAAACAAAGAAGAAATTAGTTTCAACTTTTAATTTTCCTCGTCCAACGATTATAAAAATTTATAAAATTAAAAGTTTTACACTAAATGTACGTGAATCCTAACCTAGTAAATAGACATAAAAAATTAATTATTCAAAGAATTATTTATGGAATGCTGTTGTTATTAGAGGATAAATGGACTTCTCTTTCAAACCAGCCCAATAGCTATAGTAAACTCAGAGCCTAGCTTCTATTTATATCTTCTTTGAATGATATTTAATAGCAATATTTTATTTTTTGAATTAATTTAATAATAATTTATCTGTTAGTAGAATTAGACTATTGAATCCCAATTAAAACATAATATGATTGATAATTTTATTATAAAATATTTTTTGTATCTCTTTAAAAATTTAAAGTTAAGTATACTTATATCAACAATGGAGAAAAACAGATGGATTACAAATAAATTGTTAGTAATATCTAAAGTGATTATATAATAGTATATACTCTGAATTATTTTTAATTTGTTGACAATACATCGCAAATACAATTATTTAAATTCAATTTTTTTTAAAAAAAATATAAGTAATATTTTATTTCTGAGACCCCTCGATAAATTCTTAATAACACAATTTTAGACGTCCATTATTGTAGGTTGACAGGTAGTTCATAATTTCATATAGCCCGGCACTCATCACTGCAACAAAACTAAAATACCAAAGCCAAATAATCGAATGTGACATAATATGCTATGGATTTAGTTCAACATTATTACTTCCCAAGTCAAAAAGGAAGAGCTAGTATTAAATATGATTGCCCTATTTCATGAAAGCCATTCATATTTAGCTTTTGATTATATGTTGTTGATCAACCATTTAATCGACCCCAATCTAATAGACGTGTCTGACTTCCGCAAAACACAAATCATGGGGTGAATTTGTTCATGGAGTGTCATTTCTCAGCTCCCCTAAACAAATTAAAGGTAAAAAAGATACGAGTGGAAAGGGGTAGAAGATATGAAGGAATAATAGTTCAAAACAGCACATTGGATAATGGAATCAAGTTCTGCATATGGGTGGCTTATTATAACATCAATAACTCTTACTTGACTGATATCATCATACTCAGCTGACATCTATCCGTCGTGCTTGTTGCGGATGCCGTCATTTGCTGTCGACGAATGATCGGTGGGTCGCTCTGGTAAAGATTCTGATTATGAACTTGAAAAGACCAATGGCATGTTAATCCATGGGTGGTAGCAGCAGTACAGCAATGACAAAAGAAAAAGGTATTTCAAACTCCTGCCGTTCATTGCCCCCTTGCCGTCCCCACAAACAGCTCATATTTTCTCCAACCTTATGAGCCCCATTGGTTCCAAATCCCCAACCCCATCAATCAAATCCCATGCTCAACTGGCTAAGCTTCTCTCTGTCAGCCTCAGTTACCTTTGTTTATGCCTTTCTAATCAACCAGTCAATTCATGGTCCTCTAGAACACCTTGTTGTCAAGCTTAAATTCCGACCAAAATACTGTGTTCACAACTTATAGCTACAAGCAATGCAAGAGATGGAAAACCCAAAGGCTACGACCGATCATCAGCCTGAGGTGAGGGACACTTACAGAGTCGCTTATATAATCCATTTCATGCTAGGTGCAGGCAATTTGCTTCCGTGGAATGCTTTCATCACAGCCGTTGATTACTTCGTTTATCTCTACCCTGCCAAGCATGTTGAAAAGGTTTTCTCTGTGGCCTACATGAGCTCCTCGGTTCTGGTTTTGGTCGTTATGATGAGTTCGGGTAGCTGCAGCATTAAGTTGACTCGGAGATTTAGGCTTAACATGGGGTTTTCCATGTTTCTTCTCTCCCTGATGGTGGTTCCGACTATAGACTGGGTGTCGCATCGTAGTTGGTCTGAAGATAAATGGAATGCAGCCTATCTTGTGACGGTTGCAGCGGTTTTAGTATGTGGTTTGGCAGATGGATTGATAGCAGGATGCTTGATAGGATCTGCTGGAAAGCTTCCGAAACAGTACATGCAGGCCATTTTTGCTGGAACTGCCTCTTCAGGTAACACTTCCATTGTTTCAACTATATTTACACAAACCATATATGATAAAACATGCTATTAGATATATCTTACATTCGATGTGTGTTTGAGAAAGATCCCTCAGAATATGGAGTTTATTCTATGCAAGTGCAAACTTTATTTATCATCATAATTTCCAGTAGGAAAGACTAGAACAGTTGCTGCGTACGACTCGAATGTCTAACTAAATCTGATATACAGGTGTGCTGGTTTCAATCTTACGCATAGTAACTAAGGCTTCACTTCCACAAACACCGGAGGGCCTGCGTGCTAGCGCTCACTTTTACTTTATAGTCAGCACAACCGTCCAGTTGTGCTGCATTCTTTGTTGCAATTTGCTATACAAGTTACCAGTCATGCAACAGTACTACAGAATTCTTGGAGATGATCCATTTTGCTCAAGGCCACAGTTTTGGACCACGGCGAGGAAGATCTGGCGGCCAGCGCTTGGGATCCTCATGATATACGTAGTGACCCTGTCTATTTTCCCTGGATTTATAGCCGAGGATTTAGACTCGAAGCTTCTCCATGACTGGTATCCTGTTTTGCTGATCACAGCGTATAATGTGGCAGATTTCATGGGAAAGTCTCTGACTGCAATATATGTTCTACGGAGTATTAAGAAAGCTACATGGGGTTGCATAGCCCGGCTTTTATTCTATCCACTGTTCACCGCTTGCCTTCACGGACCAAAATGGCTCAAGGGTGAAATACCGGTGGTGTTGCTAACCTTTATGCTCGGACTGACTAATGGATACCTAACAAGCGTGTTGATGATCCTAGCACCCAAGACCGTACCAGTGTCGGAAGCAGAATTATCTGCGATTGTGTTGGTCGTGTTCCTGGGAATCGGTTTGGTCAGTGGTTCAGTTCTAGGTTGGTTCTGGATCATCTGATCCCTTCCTCAGCTCCCCTTGTCTCCCCACTAGCTAACACTTTGATGAAATCTGTGCAGAGGAAAACGAAGGCCAAAATCTATCAAAATCTGGGTGTTTATCTTTCTTTACAACCAAAGTCTAAAAGATTATGTGAAAAGAATTTGAATATTCTCTCATGCTCACACTTTATTATCTTCCAAAAGCAATGGACAATAACAAAACTCCAAAAAGAAAAAGTAAAAATAAAAAAACAGTGGATCTTTTGTCTTTTAATCTTTCTGATAAGATCAGCAACTGGGGATCAGTACCTTCAGTAACCTTCAAGTCCAAATAGAATAAACTTTAATATCCTTTTAACACTAATTGATGGGAAAAGATGGATAATTTAACTTGCAACATCATCACTATCATGAATTGTCAAAGAGAAATCAAGAGAGAAACAAGAGCACTTCAATGGAAAATTTCATTTGCATGTCTTATTTTTTTTCCTTTTACATGGTACTCCCAAGGATGAGAAGACCAAAACAGAGTTCTCAATAACTACAAAGCTCACTCACATCATTTCTACTCAACACAAAACAAAGAAAAAGTAAATATTAACAGAAGTCAGAGAAAGCTATGTCAGAAGAGTCTTAAGAAGCAGCAGTCAAAGGTGGAGGCATTGAAGGAACTCCATGGATAAAGCTTTGCTCTGATCCTTTACTCAAATTTTCCACTACTTGTTCTTCTTCGTCTTCATCTTCTTCCTCAGCATCCCAAAGAAACCGTGCATATGATGCTAGCACATAACTGCAAATTTCAGCAAGAAAAAAAAGATTAAGCTTTTTCATCAATCAATGTGTAATTGAACATAAACGATGAAACCAATTGTATAGAATATAGTTCTTTTTTTTTCGGTATTTACCAGTCATCAGGAGCAGCTTTAACAGCTTGACCGTAGTAAGTTTCAGCTCGGGAACTATCTTTGCGAGTTTCCCAGATTAAATCGGCATACATAGATAGAACATTCCCGTCATCTGGATTTGCCAATATCGCCCTCTCACAGTATTCTTCGGTTTTCACCAAATCCCGACGAACCTGACCGGTTTTCCGACGTTAGATTAAACTAAAAAGTCATCTTACCTTTCATTTATTTAAGAAAAAAGTGAATGAAAAAGATGATATAAAGTTACCTCTTTTAAGAATTTAGCGTAATTGCTGAGGAGAAGTGGATTTCTAGGATTAGCTTCGATCATTTTCTGATAATACAACTCGGTACCATCATTTCCGCTGTTCGAATCCCACCAGCCCCGTTCGTTGTCACCAGTATTAGATCCACCGCCGTTTCCGCCGCCTATTCCACACTCTTTCTCCACAGCGAGCGACGCCGTTCTCCGCAACTGAAATCCAGCTTCGTTTTTCTCCACCTCCTCTTCGTCCTCAACAAAGATCCCATTAAGGATCCCGACATTTTGCTTAAATTTCCCCATCTTAGGTACCACTGGAGAGCTGGTCATCCTCAGATCCGTCTCCGACAACGCCCTTGTCACCCCCCGGCTCAAGTCGTCGCTCGAGCACGAAAATCTGAACGAAACAGATCGGGTTTGTGAAATCAGGGGCGACGACTCGGGCTCCGGCGACGGATCCTTCGCGTGTAGGATCCGTGAATTAAATAACGGCGTCGATGCGCTCCTTAAAAGCATTTTGTACTAAAATGAAATGCTTAAGAAAATTAAAGGGTGAATTTCAGAAATAAGCCAAAGATCTTAGCTCTAATACTTCCCTGCTGCAGTTGCAGCGTTTTAAGAGAGGTAAAGAAAGAAGAGTTGAGGCGGTGCTGGATTTTTATAGGGAGAATAAGTGGATGTACGGAAACGATCTAGACCGTTGACTTTAATGATTGAATCTTGCATGGTGATGATAAAAACTCGTGGGAATTTACTGAACAGATATATTATAATAATTACTTTTAAATATTTAAAAATATTATAACGATTATTTAAATTGAATTCAATAAAAAAATCCATTTTAAATATAATTTTGCTGCGACATCGATTTTCTCTAATATAAAATTTACTTTGATCGTCCCCAAATCAAATTTTTTGAAAACATCGTATATAATATGTATTAAATTTGAATATTTTGATTTTTTTAGTATTAAAAAGTGGGGTCGTGGTGGAACCCAATGGTTGGTGAAGATCGGTGATGACCTGATGGGTCTCTGGGCTACTTGAGGTGGACTGTCGTCCCTGGGTTAAAAGATGGGATCCCCTTTCTATCCTCTCAGATTTTTTATGGTTCTTGATCTCGTTAGGCTAATTTGTCTTTTCACTTCGCAATTATTGATTTTATCTCTTTGATATATTTTTATTCTTTTTCCTCAAATGATATAATTTAAGTAAAGATAATAAAATATAGGTAAACTACGTTTTTAATACCCAAGTTATTAGTTTTAATTCGTTTTAGTATCTGAACTTTTAATTTTTTTTTCAAAATCATACCAACGTTCACTTTTTGTTTCATTTTAGTATCTGTCGTTAAAAATTTAACGTTAGGTTTTGGATTTTGTTTTGAAAGTTTAGGTACTAAAATGGATCAAAATGATAGTTTAAGTACTAAATGCATTAAGTTTTTAACAATATGATACTAAAATGAAACAAAAACTAAACATTATGTATGACTTTTTGAAAATTTAAAAGTTTAGGTATTAATATAAATCAAAACTGATAATTTAGATACTAAATATGTAATTTACCCTAAAATATAGTTATATAAGTTCTACTTAGCTATATATACCTACCATAAAAACAATTAGATTGCATGAATTATTTAATTGAAGATAGAGAGGGTTTGTTCATCATGGCACATATATATAATGTCATTAAATAAATAAATATTAAAATTATTTTTAATACGGAATTTATTAAAAAAATCTAAAAAAATAGGGTGTCACCCAACATTTAATGCAGCTCTACCCATGTTTAGGGGTGACAATTTAATCTGTATTTGATGGTTTTTTAGTCTAATTTGATAATGTTGGATTTTTTAAAAGAAAAATATTCGGGTCGAGTCAGATCATAATTTTAAAGGGTGAAGTTGGGTCGAGTAGAGTCGGGTAAAGGTAGAGGGTAAAAAAATTCAACCCAACCCGACATAAGAATAATAATATAATTTCATTTTAAAAATATATTATTTTTTAATTAAGTACTTAATTTTTACTATCGAATCAAGTCAAGTCAAATTTATGTTCTTAAATTCGAGTTATGTCAGAGTTAGGTGAAAATATATATTTTTCAGATTGGATGAAAAAAAAACATGATTTTATCGGATTAAATGAAGGATACATATTTTTAGATTAAATTGAGTGAATAAAAAACTCAGCCCGTTGTCATTAAGGATAGATCAAAATCTGACCCGTTGTTATCCCCACCCACGCTTCCCAATCGAAGTCCCCATCTTGGGCAGGTCACATTGCTCCTTTCATATCCTGTGCTTGTTTCCAATGCAATAATTAAGTGATACATTGTGACGCTTCTGTCCTTATCTTCCCCTGTTTCATGATATTTTACGACCGATGGTTTTGCTCCAAAACAACAACCTCAGACAATCAATTTTACTATTTTAACATGTTATTACAATTAAGCTATTCGTTTGGATTCACTTTACATCTCATGCCAAAGCATTTGAATCTCATTTTCCTTAAAATATTTGAATATTCGACTTGAAAAACATAAACTTTTTCAACACTTACATAAGGCCTTGCGCCTGCAGTTCCGATGAGGAAATGTGTAATGAAAAAAGTTAACAATTTCGAATAGGGGCACAACCAGCAAACTGGAACCGAATCCAGTGCCGATCATGACTGAAACTCCAAACCAGCGCTTGAAGACGAAGTTCTCCAGGTAAACCATGGCTATGAAACCAGTGCCGATCATGACTGAAACTCCAAACCAGCGCTTGAAGACGAAGTTCTCCAGGTAAACCATGGCTATGAAACCAGTGCCGATCATGACTGAAACTCCAAACCAGCGCTTGAAGACGAAGTTCTCCAGGTAAACCATGGCTATGAAACCACCTCTGTAAACACGGGAGCTCAATAGCTACAACAGACTTTCTCGTGTTGAGAAAACTTACAAAAAGGAGTAGACAGCCATCGGCAAACAGCCCAAAGTGCCATAGAGAAACTGTTATTAAATTATTAAATTATAATAATTATTATTATTATTATTTTTACTTTTATTAATATTACATATTACAATTTTTGCAGGCCAATCGAGGCCCAAAACAGATACAACCCAAATACAGCTCAAGCCTACCCAAGACCCAAACAACACCTAGAGGCCCACTACATTCAGTAACCCAGAACCCATGATCAGACCCGATCCGACCCGTTCAAATGACCCGAACTAGCCCAACACCTAGACCCATTAGGGTTTCCACATTAGCTGCCAGCCTCTTCTCGCCAGCCGTTGGATCTGGACCCAAATCAACGGTCCATATCACTTAGAACCTAGGGTGTTGAAACCCTAAAATATCAACCTCAACCACCGCCAACTTCAGCAGCCGCCGCACGCCAACGTTCAAGCTTCCCGAGCCGATCAGAACACATCATCCATAGTGACAACATAGCAACAAATCAGTCAAAGAAATCCAATTCAAGCCAGAAAAAAGCAGAGATAAAAAATTTTCAAAAGCAACTTTAGATATCCCAAGGCAGATCACAAAATCCCGATGAAAATCGGGCTATGAGAGGCTTTCAAATCCATCAAATAGAAGAAAATCACATAAGAAAAGGGAGATAAAAAAGAGAGTGATTGTGGGAAAGAACAATTTTACAGAGGGGGATTTCGAGTGAAAAAACAGAGAGAGAAGAGGGAAGGATTAAGGGGAAAAAGGAACTGAAAAACTAGAGAGAAAATAAAAGGAAAAAAATGAAAGAAAACAAAGAAAAACCCTTAACTTTGGTACATCCACCACCACCGTCACCTCACTAGTGTTATATTTCCCCGTTTTCGAAGGTAAATCTCTTACCTTAGGGTGACTTCCGTTTTTTATTTTGAGGGGGTCGGTTGTTTTGTTTTAGTTTGTTCGAAGGTTTGTGCTTTAGGGGATTTGGACTTGATTTTCGGGGTGAGGGTAAGGAGGGGAAACTTTTGGGGAAGTTTGGGTCCCTCCGACCACCGTGGGTCGTCGTGAGCCATCGTGAAAGGCCACCAACGGCGGCGGCCCCTAAGCTTCCCTGATAGGATCTTTGAGAGAGTTTTTAAATTCTCCCTCTTCCTTCAGTTGAAGGAACTGGGAAAATGAGAGAAGTTGGCCAAATTTTGGCCTTGGGTTAGATATATATACCTTGGGTGAAACGATATCGTTTCAAAGAGGAGGGATCAACATATTTTTGGGTTTGGGTTAATAGTTTGTTTGGTCCCTGTAACCTTGTAATATAATCTATGTTGTTCAATTCTTTAGGGATAATATCAATTTTAGTCCCTGTGGCTTTGTAATTTCAACATGTGTGTTCTGATCTTTTGGGGATAATTGTGTTTAGATCCCTCCATAGTTGTAACGTTGTATTATCAGTTATCAATGGATTTTATTTTTATTATTGAGATTATATTTTATATTTGTTATAAATTAGTCCTTTATTAACTTTAAATACTCTTATGTTTATATTTGAGCCTAGATTATTGTACTTTAGTTTATTTATAATTATGTAAAACTTTCCTTGTTAGTTCATTTTAGTCACTGATCTCATGTATTATACCGTTTTTTGTTTATGTTTGAATGTGGCCACCATAATATTTTATTTTAATCACTGTTTGGCATTTTTGTTTATTTATTGTTTAGACCTACATGTTTCTGGTTAGTTCATTTTAGTCCTAAACTTGATTTATGGTGTATTTTCATTTCTAATACCTATACTGTTTAGTATTTTCATTTTTTGCCTTTGGTTTATGATATTTATGTTTTTAGTCCCTTTAGTTTATGGATTTTGCTATTTTAATCTTTTAAGTTTCTATTTTGTTGCTTTAGTCCTGTAAATTTTTGTTTTTGCTATTTAGTCCTTTATTTTACTAAGCATGTTTATTTTTATTTTTATTTTAATTTGTCATGTTTGTAATGTGTATAAATGTTGTTATGTATTTGATATTTCTCTTTGTTCCACGATTATTTATTTTGAGTATTTTTCACTGCTTTTCATTTTTATTTGTTTTATTTTATTTTTTCTTTGCGAAAATTGCGAGTAATGTCTTTTGTGAGGGGAATCTAAGGGAAATTCTTCTAACTGTAAAGAAGTATTTTCCCGAAGATTGTTCACATAAAAAGGCATTCGTAATTTGAAAAATAACAGTTTTTGAATAAATTCGAATGAATAAGAAGATCATAATTTAAATATATTTTTGAGTTTGCAATTCCCAATACTTAAACAACGTATAATTGTCTAGGTACCAAAGTTTGGGTGTTGTGGGGGTGCTCACCCTTCCCCACACGTAACCGACTCTCAAACTCTTAAAAATGAATCTTTGGTAAAAAGCATACCATTTTTTAACATTTAAAATTTCCAACCTACCTAACTTAATGGTTGGTGGCGACTCCAAAATCAAACTATTTTCCAAATCATATTTCATCACATTCCCCGAAAACCAATTTTTAAGTCTAACGGGTCCCCCGGGGAGACGTTATGATAGTTTGGCGACTCCGTTGGGGACCTCGAGAGTCAGGCCATAAACTTGATTTATGGTTTAGACCTACATTGTTTAAACCTACATGTTTCTGGTTAGTTCATTTTAGTCCTAAACTTGATTTATGGTGTATTTTCATCTCTAATACCTA